CAGTCATTCATCTTTGGCCAACAAAATCCACATATCCACAGAGGGCCAATGTCTCAATTAATTCTGAATTTTTAGGAAACTGTCCAAGTTAGGTTAAAAGAGATGTTATACAGAACAACTTGCATTTTACTTATATTATTTACGAGTGTTTCCATTAAAACTATATCAAACAATTTGGAACTCCAAAAACTAAAGTTCCACGGATGGAAATTTCATGAATGATTTAATACTGCTGATTTTTTTTTTCTTGAAGTCTATTACCCCCTTGCTATAAAAGATGACAACATTGCTAATATGCCCTTCCTTGTAGTTGTTAAAGACTTCTAACAAATCTTTTCCATTTAGCTATGGATCAGATAATTATGGCTGGAGATTTTAATCATATTTTAGAAATCTGTTGTTTGACTACAATATGTTCCAGCTAAATTTAATTCCTGTATGTGGAAAGCGCTACAAGGTTACATATGGAGTTGAATTTATACATATGCAGGGCAGTCTACACTGGAATTATATAAAACATATTTATTTGCTTATTTGTTTATTTGAATTCATGGACTAATAGGGGTAGTAATTTTTTAAAATCAGAAAACTGCCAATCCAATTTTTAAACTCATTGAATATACCATGGAATGGCAGTATATTTTGGTTTCACCATTTCATCCAGATGTATTAGCAGCATCCAAAATTCCTCAGTGACAATCAGCAGTGAAATGTGTTTTGGAGGATTCCAAGTCTACACTATTTTTAAAGAAACAGTTGAAGAGTGTTGTTAAGGTAGATATTAGTTATTTGCAAAAACTTTGGGATACCCAGTTTTAACAAATAAATGATTAAGAGGCTTTAAAAAACACTAAACACATTTCTTATAATAAAATGTAGTAAAGTAAGCAAAATATTTTTGTGTTCATTAGATACCTGATAGAATGTTTAGGATGAATTGTCTGACAACTTCATTAATCCAGAAGGGTAGAATGTTGGAGGGCTCACTTGCACATATGATAGATGCTAGTCCTACTCCCATAAAATTTTGGTTTAATATCCATAAATTTGGTAATTTGATTTGGGAAAAAATAATGTCATTTAAAGGTGTGGATGTGATTCTGAATTATATATCCAAAATTTGGAATTTATCATTATATGAAAAACAGATTTATCAAGCAAGGATTAGATGGATTACTCTGTTACAATGGAATGACAATGCCACTTTGTACTTACAATCTTGGATTGATGGTATGTGTTCACTTTCTGGCTCTTTATCTGGCTCTTTATCACTATCAATATTATGATGCCAGGGGTTGTAGTACCACTATGGAAGAATTGGGAAGGAGGTGTAGTGGTGTGGTTCACTTTTTCTCTCTTTGCACATGAGATCACATTCCTCCACACTCCCACTTAAAAGGAATTACTAAGCAGGTTTTGCAAATTGCACCATTGTACAGTAAATTCCTTCACACTCTATACCTGTTCTTAGAAAGAGTTACATAACAAGCTGTTGCAATTTGAATGTAATACTTTTTGTTTCCAGCCTCTTGCAACTTGCATGTAATAACACCCACTTTGACTTGTTTATCTGTATTGCTACTTCTAACAATTAAGAATAACATGAGCCTCCTTATCTGACACTTGCAAAAGACAGGGAGAACAAATTCATGTAAGAAGCAATGTCTCACTTAGAATATTTGGCAAGAGTAAATATCTGAGTTCCAAATAATAGACAAGATGTGTAAACTGGTTATCTCCAGGTGTTGTCTACTACAGATGATGACTTACTCAGAAATATCTTGGGCACAGTCAATGGACTGAATTGTGACCAAGTCACTGATAAAAAGTGCCACTAAACCGTCACCAGATGTTGTATGGTTTATACAACATGTCTGGGGAAAAAAGGATAAGAAGGTGGTAAAATACCCCAAACACTTTGGTGAAGACCTCTAGACTCAGGAAGTGCTACAGACCTACCAGCTGGCTCTAAGGGGGTTATCTGCCATCATTTCATGAGGTTCCTGACAAGCTGAAGGGACATAGTTTGCTATATACTTTATTTTCTACTACATCTCTCTGAATATTTGTTCAGTAAAACAAATTTTTGGCAATGACCATGGTTTGAGCCAACTGTCTTTGAATTCTAAACCTACTGGCTACTGGCAGGCCATGGTACCAACACAGTGGTCAAACTTAATGCAGAATTTTTTAAATGAGCTGTTTTTGTATATATTATGTTTTTGTCGCTTCATCTTATTTTTCTTTTTTCCTTTACTCTCTCTCTCTCTCTATATTGAAAATGAGGAAAATATATCTTTGGGCGAATCTTTGGGTGAAAGAAGCAAGTTTTTAGAGGCCTTAGATGAATGGGATCACCTTAATAAAATTGAAACG